TGGTGCTTCATCCAAAATAACTGACGATAGACCTTGGCTTTGTGTGTGTGTTATTGGAAGTGAAATTGGGTCTCAAGCTTTCCAACCAGTTTAACCAGCCGAACGTGTGACAGTAACAGCTCTCACTCCACCATGTGACAGGAATACCCATGCGTGCCATTGTCTGAATGAACCAGCACATTCTTGGGTAAACCATGATTGATGAACGACCTGGCTGCTCCAACATCCATTCCGAGTCCATGCAGACTACGAGCGCCGCCAATAGGATTGTCCTGCGCTTGAACAACCTTCGAAAGCACGAAACGAAAAAGAAAATCAAATGGGTTTGGCTGCGGTGTGAGATGTTCTAGTGGAGAACGCAATGCAACCCGTCCTTGTCATCATTTTATTACCACGCCTAATGCTTGGATGGAAGGACATGCCAAAGCCATTCAAAAGGCTTCTTGCAGCCGTCCCCTGGTTCGCAGCGCTGAACGAACTGCACACAGGCGCAAAGAAGGAGATTAGCTCTCCATAGGAGCCTTCCAGTATCATTTTGATGGCCAACCTTACCAAAATGATCTCAAGTAACATGCGATCACAGTCGCTCAAAAGCGCACAGAAGTTTAGTTAAAGCAATTCAGGCCAGCTACAAAAAACCCGCTTGGCTGTTCATATCCATGAATGACCGTTTCGCCTTGCCATTGTGATTGCTAGTTGTATTCTCGTCTGGCTGATGGTAAGCTATGTCGTAAGATGCCACCTGCCATCCACGGCGGGCTGCAAATCGGCTGACCCGGGCCCTTCCAGAGAAGAACTCTAAAACCTCAAAGTTTTTGAGCTCGGGCAGCTCCAACCATGCAGTCAGAAGGACTGCCGCCACGAAATCCTCAAGCAGAACTTGGCGAGGGCAAGTGCATATCCCACCCTATCCAAGCTTACTCATCTCACTTCGCAAAACGCATGTGACAAGTCCTGAGGTACCTGTAAAAGGATCAGACAGCCAACAACAAGCGTCAAAAGTGAAGGGTCCATGGCAAACACAAATCACTTGGCCGATCGAGCAAGGACAGCTTCGTATTTACCAGCAGTTGGCAGTAAGTTGCTCGAAAGGCTGAATGCACAAATTCTCATCAAAAAAACTCAGATGCGCTAAGCATGCCAGTCTCACCAGCTGTCCTCTTTAGATACTTCTTCGGGCGCCAAGAGGCCGGCCTTTGTCAGGGTGAAGGCTGCGAGGGTTTTGAAAAAGACACTTGCGTTCATTAGTTCACCAGCCTGGGCATTGTAGGGAGCGCACCTGCTTCAAGTGTAGCTGCAGCACAGTGGGAAAAGCTGGATCAAACAATGGTGTAGGAGTTCGTCTGGAAGGCACAAAAACACTCCTTTCACACGACTGCCCACTAAGTGCATGAAGGACGTGAAGGCTGGCCCTTTTGGCGCTCCCTCAAATCCACACCAAATCACCCCAATTCCACCCTGTACAAGCCTAAGCTTTGGCCTATGAAACCTGAAAGGACCTGGCACTGACCCCATTCAATGAGGTCCACAGCTCTCCGGCCACAAGCGATGCTGCACGTAGATAGGAACCGGTTACCTTGAGATGGTGCCGAGAGTGCTCAAAACAAGAAAGGTCGGGAGACAGCAACATTAAACCCAATCAATAAATCTAACTGAACTGGTTGGTGGGTGATTTTTGGAGCTCTCCACATCTCTTCCCAAATTGGTTTCACTAGGAAAGGCCAAGAGATACCAGAAAGAAACAGCCAATTCTAAACAAGTCGAAGTTGCAAAACCTTTGAAGACAGCTTGACTGCAACTTCGTAAAAGGCAGCGTAGTCCTCGCATTCCTTGAACTCATCGGAGCTCATGCAAGTTGTCCAAAAGTTCACCTGAGGAGCAGCCCAAAAGGTGTTGGACTCTTTGGGGGTGGAGCACCCTTCAACCTATTATGGTGGGAACAAACAGGTCGATTCAAGTAAATCACCTTGTCCATGTTTGTTGACAACGCACGTTTTTGGCACCGGGCCTGAAGCTTTGAGTGGCACTTCACTTTCGGTAGATGCACTCATTGAAGGCATTGCGGATCGCCTGCCATCTGTCTCTGGAAGGCTGCGTGCTTGGACATGGACGCCTAGCGAACGAGGTGGTTGTCTCAAGAGACGGGGTCGCACCCTCACCGTCACCCTCCTCTCCCTTCTCAGCTTCCTTGGAAATGGCCTTCTTCCGCTTTGGCTCCACCTCACCCTCCTCAGCCTCCTCACCCTTCTCGGCCTCCTTGGACTTTCGTGCCTTCCGCTTTGGCTGTGGCTCCTCAGCCTCAACCTCTTCACTCTT